AAATGACCTGAAGATCTAGAAGGTAGGTACACAAATACGGAATCTACGATCAAAAATGAATTTTACGTGTCTAGGAGTTTTTTGTGTCATTTAGCGTCCTACAGTGTAATCAGAGAGACGCTCTTCCAGGACCATCTTCCATCTTTTGAGGAGATTAGCCATAACTTTGTTATCAATAACTTCAGATCTCCTATTAGTAGGACAAATGTTTTTCGTATTACCAACCGACATAATGAAATTTAATAGGGTTGTAATGCTTTATGAGCTAGCGTCACAACCCACAATAAGGCTCTTACCATTTGACTTCCTGCACGGAGAGGAATTATTGGGTACTATGACTAGTATATCAAAAATGCGACGTCCCCGGCTCGATATACAGTCAACGATTTGTATCGCTACCATATCGTGAACGTCCATAGATGCGTCCACGGCCTGTCGATAGTTACTAAGTGAAAACTATTGCGAATTGGTACACGTACATATAAAAATTAGGGTGGTCCAAAAATGCATGTAAAAAAATTCAAGTTCGATTTTCTATGATCCCACCCCCTAGGATTGTTCTATGTATTTCGAAAAAATATACAAAAACGTAAGATGAGTCCCCCCATTGCATTTTTGTGGGTTTTTGGGGGACCTTTAAAAATAGTTACTGTTAAAATATGATAAAATAAGCAATTGGGTATTATTATCGGAAATTCCTGATGAGAAACAGAGTTTTCCGATGGAATATTTATTTAAAAAAAATTTTATACCATTTCTACCATTTCTGTATACCATTTTTCACCACCCTAATGTTCCTATACATATGGCTCATTCCATCTCAAATCACCCAGGCCGGCGGAAAGTGAATTTAAGTTTGCGATAAAACTCACAGGGATGGTTCCTTGAACAATTTAAGGAGACACGTATTTTTTCTTTTTGCTCAGAAATGCGAATTTTTCGAATAATGAATTTTTTTCTTTTTGAGTACGAACGCTTCTTTTTTCCTCTCTTAATAGCAACTTTTGATGAAATCGTTTATAACTGCCGCAAAAAAGCAAGGATTTTAACGATTTTTTTTT